CAAGTATCACTCTGTCTTTGTTCGATATTCAATGAGCAACAGAGAAAATAATACTTTTGTGTCGCTTGTGTTTTTTGGTGAAAAACTACTTTAGTAGAGCACTAAGGCCTGTTCTACAATACGTCGTATATCGGATAACTTATGGATAAACAACACTACAATTTACTCGCAAAAGATAAATTTCAATTTTTTCTTTAAATGACATACATTCAACACCTTACCTAGGAATAACCTGAACAACAAACATTCCTCGCAGATCTTGCAGCAATATTATAATAGTATTCAGGTGATTTTAGAATGTGAACGGTGAACGGAGCTACAAAGTTCGAGCAGCTTAGAAGACATAACCTAATCATCATAAACTTTTCAGCTCAGCGACAAAGGGGCGAGAGGGCAAAGAGCAAGATCTATAGAGAGAAGGTTACCTCAGGCTGCGTTCCCATTTCGTCTCACTCAGTGCAGTATCCAGTGGCCGCCATTTTGCTGGATACTGCACTGGAGAAGCGTTTCCAAATTACTGGACTGGCTAGTGACTAGTAAAGCCCCTTACACAATGCCAGGCAACAGGCAATAAGAACAGGAAATAACATACAAGAGAAAGAGAGAAAAGCTATTTCTCTCTTTTTCTTTCCTACATTATTCTCTATTTCTATTGCCTGTTGCCTGGCATTGTGTAAGGGGCTTAACAGCCTCGCACACGTATTAACTCATAACCTAAATAAAATTGTTAGTTAATATGTAAATAGTGTTGAAGCAATTATTGCTAGTAAAGATTATTATATCGGTAAGTAAATATTTCAATTAGCAATGTATTAATAAGTGTTAACGTTATTTTTAAATATTATAACGACGATTATACCGATTATTTGCTTGTATAACTTCACATTTAAAAACAATAAATTATTGTATATAATATTTATTGTATATAATTATTGTACATAATTTTATTTTTCAGTACACATTGATTTTTATTATTATTTATATTATTATTATTATTATTTATTATTTACATTTCCCGGCCGACGACATTCTGAACGAGGTACGATTGTCACTAGCCAGTCCAGTAATTTGGGAACGCTTCTCCAGTGCAGTATCCAGCAAAATGGCGGCCACTGGATACTGCACTGAGTGAGACGAAATGGGAACGCAGCCTATACTATATGTCTCATAACTCTGAAATTATTTGAAGACAGAACGCTGATTGGTTTAATATTAGAGACCCTAGAACTAAGGTCTCTAGTCTAACAATGGCTGCGTTCAGCAGAACAACTGCTGAATTGTCGTCTAGTCAACACTTAACGTTGATTTGTTGGTTCTAAAAGTAAGAGCCAATCATGTTCGATTGCTACCAAGCGATTTGTTCTGCTGAACGCGCCCATTGATTCTTATCTCTAATCGAAAATAT